CTACTGGCATACCCCAGAGGCCATGCTGTTCATCGGAAGTACAGTAACGAAGCCCCAGACATCGTAGTACAATTTTTTGCGATTTGCATTAAAATTCCTACTCAACAGAAGCATTTTAAGCATAAAACTGCCCTCGATAAAATACTGTCCAGCTAAGACTCAAAACAGTAGTAGATAATGGAAGACGGAAAAGAGAATTTCGCTTTGAGAAGAGAAGACTTAAAATCCACTTTTTGAAGGTACTAAGAGCTGCTGAAAAAGGCTATTGTGAACAACAGTTCAATGCACTGGAGTACAGGAGAAATATGTTTTTTAATGAACTGCTATTACTGTGATTGTTCGTAAAATTTTCCCCGACACCATATCAGGCGGAATAATCAAGGATTCGCCGCGTTAGGTGAATCACTGTGAAAAGAGTTTTGACTGCATACAATTCTTGCAAATGTCACCTAGTTGTTTAATTCCTGCACACATAATCCGTCCACTTCATGTGGCCCGATAACACGTTCTTTATTCACGAGTCCACCTTCAGTAGGTTAGTTATCTAACTGTTAGCCAAGTTCATTTCAAGCCGTACGCTTGTACAAGGCGGACACCTTTTAATCAAATTCAAGCACCCTAGTTGGTGGTGAAATAGATACACCCCTTAACAATGTTACGATAACGTCTCACGTCTCAAGGGTGTTGTATCACCAACTGCCCATAACGGACCCCTAGGACTGGGGGGTACAATTGGCGTTGGCTGCGTGTGAGCGTGTTTGAGCTAAATGGAATGGTGGTAAGTACCTTGCTCCTCTCGATGGCAAGTGGTGTGTCAACTTCCCAATTTAGGCCTATTCCTACTGTCATTCAAGTGGAGACTTCAAAAGTACATTCTGCCTAATGTCATGGAGGTAGTAAAATTTGCCCCAGTAATGCTGTGCTTTGGATTTATGCCTAATGAATGGAGCCATTTGAACTACCAAAAGTGCGCGTCATCTATGACAGGTGAATGCGAAAGTAGGCAGAAATGTAGCTAAGATTCAGTGGACGCATCATGATGTGGACGGACAAATGCGGAGTGGCATGCCATTTGCAGTGAAGGTTGACTACTAAACGATAACTGTCACGTGTCATGTCAGTGAGTCACGGACGCCAAAGGCCCGGCGCTTCTAATGACAGATTAAAACCGGACGAAACATCACAGTCGAAGAATCGGACTTGTGTTTATTAAGGTCCAATTATGAAACGGACCCTTCTTAATGAAGAATCCGCTAATCCCCTAGCATTATTTGCAAAACTAATTTGAATAAGGAACGTTGAATTTTGACCGATGATAAGGCCCACTAAAGAGGAGCCGGGGGGTATGGAAAAGGCGAGAACAGCCACAAACAAGCGATCCGGGAGTCGAGTTATATTGAAAAATATTGAAGCACATTGACAAGGTTGTACCGTCTGTGGAAACCATAAACAAAGAGCTGGTTTTTCTTTTAAATTGTATGAAGGTAGCCATGACCACCCATTAAAACTTGTTGCAGCTGTCTGATACCTGCCCTAAATGACCGAGGGGTGAGGCAGTCTAGACAGGCACCAAGGATGTTTGCAGAGAATTTAGAAGAGAGAAAAACTTAGAAGGAGGTACGAAGTTTGAGGAATAAATATGCGTTGGTCAAGGACAAATATGCCATGCAGCATCTGAGCCAACCCTGGATATGTATAAAGTGTAATACTTATGTTGTTTTAGTGTACCTTTCAGGGAGGGGGCAATCTGGAAATCCGAATCTGATGAGAGGGTCGTCGCCTTCCGTGCCTAGTTGTGATTGCGGTTCTTCCCCTCCCTAAACTTTGTACCATTTCTCCCGGTTTTTTCCCCTTAATAAAGTTGTCAGGACCAAATCAATCGGGCTGTTCTGGGAACACTAGGAACAGGGTAGAGGAGACCGGTGAGTCTCGCCCTACATTGGGAATATCAGATTGAATCGCCTCGATCAATGACATCTGCTATGAGCAGAAGGTCATGACATTAATTCGATCCTCCGTGTGGCGGATATCGCAAAGGTCAGGGTAGTTAAATGCACAGCTAAAATTCCATTCTGCTGTTAGTTGCTTCCTGCACAATAAGTATCAATTCCATTGTAGACAAAGGAAAGAATCGCTCTAGATCGGTTTTATCCTTGGTGTTGGACAGCTATTAGGAGTCCCTGACCCTTGATTCTTGCAGTCAACAAATAAAATGACAAAATCCTTTTTCAACTACAGAAAATGAATCAAGCGAACATGAAGCTTATGGATTCCTGCTCAGCTTGAAAAGACATGAAAGGCGCGCTTTCTCACGCTCCACGACTTTGCCAAGTATGGGGTCAAATTATGACCTTCATATCAGGTAGTCAGTTTGGTTCAACCGAGTTAACTAGTCCTTCATTCTGGACTCACAAATGTCAAACCGGGTCTGACCTTCTACATCTGAATGATAGGACCCTTAAATTGTCTTACGGCGTCAATTTAGTCAATTTTGGACGGGTTGGAGGCAACGATTTGCACCATCCAAGATATTTACGCCCATTACTCTTTTATGGACGCACAAAGGTGGAGGAAGGGAGGAGTTTGTGGAAATAGATATGTAGGGGAAGACGATTTTTGCCTTAAATGGCTGTTGACTGTTGCCTTGTTCAAATCTTTTCCTTTTTTAGCCAAATGTGGCTGCCGCGTACAAGTTGAGTGAGGAGTGTACAAACCAATTACTGTAGTGTTAAAGGACGATTGAGAAATCAGAGATGGAAGGTAAATAGAAAGTAATAAATTTTCTTTAACCATTAATTGGGATTTTCTTTGCTTCCCACCATCCCATTCAGCATCCCTCAGTTGTGGCAAGCCTTAAAAAGTCGTCTAGTTCCCCAATATTTGACCGAACAGGCTGGCTGCGCATTCGACCGGGAGAATTAATTTGTCGTCTTTTTACTTCCAATGGCGCCAGATGCAACCGTGTTTGTTGGCTTTTTGCAGGTACACACACCCAAATGCAGCGACCAGGCCAATCTCTGCGCAACCGCAAGCAATGCGGTGGTGAGTCGGTGGTCGGCGGGCGGGCTGGCGGGAGGGGGTGCGTGGAGCAAGTGTGGTGGGGTTGGTGCTAGCGGTGGTGGTGGACAGTTTTGGTTGTAAAGCCCACGAGCTGCCTAAAAGCGCAGTTAAATCAGCTAAAGTTACAAAAAGCCACTAATACCTTCCTCATATGGGTTGTAAAGGTACTATCGCCATTCGCCATCTGGCGTTGCCTCCTTAGCAGGTAGAGGGCTCAAGCGTGCAGACACCGGGGCTTTGCTAGGCCGCTTTGTTGCACAACCTATAGGCTTCGCTTGCGCAAACAAACAACCCTCGCTTTTGCTGGCCTTCAGTCTGTAGTGGGACGGCCTCGCTCGATAATAAATTTGTTTTAACACAAGCCGAGTCCAACCAGCTGCAAAATGAAATGCGTTACCTGAGAGTGATAAAAGTGGGTTATTCTCCCCCCCCCTTTAACGCCTGGGGGAAAAAACAACACTTAACTAACCTTTTTCTAACTTTGAATTAAAAACGTTATTGTGGCAGTAAAACTGTGCTGTGATGCCTGCACCCTTTTCTCATCACTAGCCAATAAAGGATCTCTTTGTCCAACTCGTCAGCTCGTTTCAAGGGTATGGTGGCTAAAATGGAAGAGGGAAGCACTGAGTTCGCCTTCAAATGTCTTTCCGTCATGAACAAATCAGGTTTTCCTTTTAACCCCCAAACTTAGGTATTAGATTCTCTTTTCAGCACCTGTACTTACTGAATACGCGCTTACTTTTGCAGTTTCCTTAATGAACTTGACCCCTCACCATTCAAGTCCAATGTCCCCGTTGTTAAATAAGGTCAGTGAAACCTACCCAGGGTAGAATAACATCTTTCAATTAGGGTTCAGCACAAGCGATCAGCATTACCTGCAGGTTCGTTTCGATTATATCCCTGTTTTTGAGTCTATGTCTATGCAGCACTCTGAGTCTGGGGCAGAAAATGTATACTAGACGTACACAAGGGGTGGGGGAGGTCATGACCTAAGGCGAAAGTACAATGGCGGAGCCTTAAGTGCCCGGGTAACAAAATGATGCGTTGCGTAAACAAGCCATCAGGCGAATAAACCGACTAGTGTTGTAATTTGATGGAAAAGAGGGTAGTTTTACTTATCATAGGAAAAAGTGGAATCCACTTTTCTGGTTTTAATGCATTTATTTGACATTTTCTCACTACATTATGTTGGCACAAAACAAAGTTGTCAATGGAATGCCTCCGCATTTTGGTTCCCGCAATTGAAGGTCCTCGTGACTGAGACAGTACTGGCAATCTCCGAAGGGGCTACAGGTCCCGATTCCCCATACAACTTTTCTTGCCTCCATAGTCTCTATTCAACGATACATCTTCTCGATCAGAGGGCTTAAAACCACAGGGTCAACACATTTTTACAGGTTCCAGCAGGACGTTCTCCACGATTTTGATCAACAAAGGCTTCAGCAAACTTTTACAAAGGTTTATTACACCTTACACACAAACATTGATCTAATGTAATGCCTGAATTTACGCAATTTTTTGGACATATGTCAAATGATGGTAGCGTTGGATTTCTGAGGCTGAATGGTAAGTTGCGGAGGATGCCCGAGCTCGTATCCATTTTGGATGCAGACAAACTCAAGTTTTTCATTGGAGGATTGTCCTTTCGAAATTGCACTTGGCTGAGATTAAGAAGGGCCACTTCTGAGCTCTGCTGGAGGCCTCCAAAGCAGACAAGAACACACCACTGCTGCGATGTTTTCGTCCATAACCACCATTCACAAGGTCATGACCTTCGAATGATAGTATGGGTGGACAAAGTGAGGCCCAAATGTGCCGCAAGACTTTCATATCCTAGATTTTCTGATAACATGGACCAAGAAATCGTCCATCAGAAGGGAATTCAGCTGCTGCATTTGTTAAATTTCACTGCCTTCCATTTCACATTCTTTGTGGTTGAATAACACGGCAGTACGAAATATGTGACTACAACTACCTCTTTAAGATTCAAAAAATAAAAACTTTCACATTTTTGATAAAGACTATACAGCTTTAACAGTAAAATCAACTTTAACACCTCGTTGTTGTCTAAAAATAATAGCAGCTGAACTTCGTAAAAGTGAGAGCATTTGCATCGGTGGATGGTGTATCTTAGTTCACATCTCCACGCGCATTCACATAAACATAATTTCTGTTGTTTTCCATTTTTTAAGTGATTTAATCGCTCAGTGGCTGCGCAGTTTTTGGTAGGTGGAGAGGCAGGCCGAAAGAGACATCACCTTTCCGCGATCTGCTGTCGAACTGTGCCGAGTGTTCTCGGCCAATGCCGTGGAGGGAGCCAGCCACCGGGCGCAGGAGTAGGCGAGCCATCGCAACTCCTGGAGGCCGGTTCGGAGGAGGAAATTGTCTGGTCTTGTCACTGCACTCCATGACTCCAACAAGCTTTGCCGTTGTTTTTTTCTTCCCAAGGAAATGAGAAAATAATTTGCTGACATTATGTACCATCAAAATAATGCTGCAATTTGCTTTCAATTTCTACTGAGTCCTTGTTTAATTCAAAGATCTGATTTACGTTTAAAACTGATTCAAAGCCAAATTTCTCTCCCATAATGTTAATTCGAAGGTAAAGTAGTCTCACTGACGGACCTTTAATGTAAAGAGGTGAAAAGGAATTAAAAGTAAATCCGGAGATCCAAAACATGTTTGAGTTACTTCCTTAAAAGGACTTATTCGGTTGGTTACAGTATCGGCCTCCTAGAAAGCCTAAAAAAGCAATGCAACTAGTTTCATTACTATCACTCATGGCTACTAAGATTTTCGCCTGGAACTGCAGGGTGAGGATTCTGTGACAGTCACAATTTAAAACCAGAAGGTAGGGTTTATGATAGGACTAAACTGCGTCCATAAAGCTTATTCAAAGCTGGTTAATATAACCCAAAGGAAGCTGTTAGGTTATTTAAAATTACCTTACCCTTGTGTACACATGCATTATCCTTCTTTGCATGTAATAGTTCGTGAGAGGATAAATTGGAAGCGTTTTGTGGGAATAACTTTTGCTAGTTCCACGGACATCTGTTATTATTCATTGCATGAAATTTCCCGCAGCACTGAAGCTTAGAGGACCACCTATCCGTGATCTAAAACTATATGAGACTTCCCTTAATAGGGAGAATATCATGACGGAAGGTCACAATGTGTATTGCCGAAATACGGAA